CTTCTTTTATTTTCTTCTACTTCCTTTTTACTTTGGCAAACAACTTTTACTTTTTATTAGCAATTTCAATAATTTAACAAATTCGTTATATCAATAAAAATGTAAAAAAAGATAAATAATCAAAAAGAAATATAAAATTCCGGATCAGCCCAAATCTGGAATCCGGACAATAACCGTTATCATTAAAGAAGAAAAAATAAATATTAATCGATTAAGAAATTAATATTATTTCGTAAAAGTTGTATTATTTTTTATCACAGCTAACAATTAAATCTAAACTAATAAATTTTGACTCATATTAGATATTGTTATAATATATTATAGGAGATGGAGAATTTGAATCCTTAACTCTGGTTGAAGTTGCACCAGGTGTTCATTTTAAGTTACAGTTATTTTACCATTCAAACCACCATCACAGTGTCCTGGTACATCACAGAAAATTCCGAATGTTGACGGTAAATCTTGAGTGATATTTAATGTTCCACTCGCACCAACAGTACCGGTTTCGGGTAGAATAACTGTTTATTATATAAAGAGTTTGTGTAAGAAGTTTATATCGATGAAGGCAAAGATGGATAAGAATGATAGATATTTACCAGGATTTTGAATTGTTGTAGATTGTGTACAGCCGTTAGGTGTGTCCGATAGAACCACGCTGTGATAACCGGAGGACAACGTGAATTTAACCTAAAAGTTTGATAAAAGAAAACATTATATTAAACTGAACACATTACTTGCTTTTTTACAAGAAAACTATCAAAATACTTACCGTATCGCCTACTTTTACGGTAATATCTGATGGAGTATAAGTAAGTGTACCACCTTGGCCAACAACAACATCGATTTCCACGGCAGAGATAACAGTAGCCAAAATGACTAATAATAAAACTAAAAGTTTGACATTTAATCGAGCCATTTTTTTTTTTTGAAAGAAAATAAAATATAGAAGAAAAGGACGATTTCTTAAAAGAAAAGGTAATTTTTATTTTATATATCAGGTTGTAATGAAGGAATGCCTGCAAGTTATTAATGAATAAGATTTTAAATTGGGTCGTCTATTTATATTGAATTCCAGACATATCCTTGTTTAATTATTAAACAGTTTGAACTATTACTTAGTCACGAAATACCAAATTTTGATACACTAATTCTTAAAAAAAAACTCGAAAAATTACAATCACAACCCCGAATTATCATAATCCGAAAGATCATAATTTCGAAAGTAACCTTCCGAGATTATCACTTTTCGGGATTATGACCTTTTGCGATTATGATCAACAGGAGCGACCGTCAAGGTTACACAAGCTGCCGATAACCTCCGGCCATCAGTCAGCCAATCAAAATTTCAAGGG